AAGCTGCGAAGCGTTTCGGATTCGAATGTATGTAGCATATATAGCGTTCTGGTTTCGAACATGTATGTTTTTTAAAAAAATTTGGAAATTTTTGAAAATTTTGGAAATTTTTCAGGTGAAGTTCATTTGCAAAAATGTCTCACTGATTTATACGATATGGGCCATGATAATGTGAAAGTTTCACAACCGTCAGTACCATTCTTTGAAACGATCATCTCCGTACCGGGTACTTCGAGTAGTTCCATTCAACCGGTGGTAAGTCCCCTTCTAAGTGTTCCTTGAAATACTTATTTCTTTCTTTCCGAGTGTAAGTGGAGAAATGAGAAAAAGCGCCTGAAAATTTTCCAATCGGTAGCTTTTTGACAGTACAAAATAATTGGCCAGCGCATCCGACAGTACAAAATAATTGGCCAAGATGCGTTTTTCTTTTTGCACGGTTCTCTCCGGGTTTTTTTTTCGCTAACGGCACTGTTTTTTCCGACAGATGCTTCTAGCTAAAAGAATTGAGACTGGTTTCCATGATTATGACAAAATATTCTCTTAAAATTTCAGCTTTCTAGCTTTCATTCATTTGTATTTTGGCCATCCGGTAGATGCCCATTTTGAAGTTGTGGGACTCAGGATCAATAGGTGTGTCTAGCTTATGTGGGCATTTTATTATCATCTTTTACGTCGAATCTCACATAATCCGTATGAAATTGGTACTCTTTGTTAAGAACATGGTGATTTTTTAGGATTGCAATATCCGCAGTGGTATAGCCAAAATAAAACTACGTGCTGCGCCCCTGCCTCGTCAGCTGGTCGAGCATTTGGAAAAAAACGAAGAAGCACTACGAGATCTAAGGCAAGGCAGATTCACGAAGGCTGTAGAGAATCTGCACCAAACACTGGTGCAAGAAGGAATAAATTGGCTCAAAGATTACAAGGGAAGCATTTGGTCAAAACAACGAGTTGAACAACTGAGGTTAGTTTTCTTTTTGCTGGAGGAGAGTAACTTTATGAAGAAATAAACTGCTTAAATCCGAATTTTATTTCACTAATTTTCTTTCGAAGCATCACTAATAAGAGATATCCACATTGGTTGCCCAGGCGATTTTGCTGTTCTCTTTGTGTGTGTGGTACAGAATCAGGCATGCCTGGGGGATGAATTTGATTATTTTAAGTCGTACATGGGCTGAGAACATTGCTTGAAAAATTCAGCTTTCCAGCTTTGCTAGTTCTCGAGTTGGCCATTTTCCCGCCAAAAAATCTGGTGATTTCGTGACCTCTTTAATGGCCCTTCTCATCTGCGGCAGAAACCCACGCAAAAAGCTAGCTAAGAAGCTACCAGAAAGAAAAAAAAAAAAAAGGAAGAGGTGTCTTGCCATGCAAGGCAGATAGATAGTAGATGTGCTGCCAGGCTGAACTTGAAGCACAAGGACCGATGGTGTAGTGGTAACACATTGCGTCAGGACGTGATGAGGAGTGGTTCGATCCCCTCTTGATCCAGAACAATTTTTGAAAATGGGCTCCCATTCAAGATACCATCCATCGGACCGGTCACAAGTTCTGTTGTCATTTTTCGGTGATTTTGTAATGGAATATGTAAAAAAAAAAAAGATTTTGAGTGTTGTAGATACAGTCACTATTTTAACTCTTTTTTCAGGAATTTTATTGACAGGATATGGGCTTTTGGACCACCGCGAGCCCGATTCAATATATTGTTTAATGCTGTTGCTGATTATGAAAGACCATCCATATGGAAAAGTAATTTGTGAATTTTCATTGCATCTATCAACATTTCATGGCCCTAGTCCGTTCTTCAGCCCTTCTTTTTCTGATTTTTTAGCACCAAAAAAAGAAAGCGATGTAACTGTATAGAATTGCATTTCGCTTAGTTTGTTAATATGCAGTTTTTTTTTTTGAAAGTTATGAAGGCTTTTATAGATTAGTTTCCACTAACCCCTCCCCCCAAATGTATGTTACTTACTCAACCGGCAAAGGATCTACGCCATTTAGTTTATATCCACTTATCCCAGCTCCCTCTCCCCTCCAAACCGCCGCTATCAGCCGTTCTGCAGCCCTCCAGCCATCGGGAGAAAATTGAGACGGGGACTTTAGTGCCTATTGCCATATTAAGAAAAGAAAGGGAAAGCTAGGAATTCATCTTTAATTGGCTTGGTGATTTTTGCATTTTTGTTGCAGAGCAAACCACCAAATTACGGTATTTTGACCAGTCCATGATAGCCGGTTTTGATTTGGCGATGAGTGCTGGTCCA